GTTATTGCAGCACCCGCTCTTAAACAGATGGGTATGTCCCCTGAGGTGCCCGCAACGCCTCAGTTTCCCCCCCAAAATGGCTCTGCGAAGAGTTGTCAACGCACCAGCCCTTTCTGTGAAGGTCACTGTCTTGTCGCCTTCCCTGTGTGTTCACCCAAACTTGCCCTAAGCTGCTTCCCGTAACCATTTCGCTTAAAATCGTTCCAGGTTTGGATTAAAACGTCGTTTTGTTTTCCCTCCGCTGGCAGGTGGTACCCATCAGTGAAACCACAGCTGGCAGAGGGTGACTGAATCCAGGGCTTGTGGTACAGGCATCAAGAAGATGGAGAGATGCTGCTCCCTCGTTCCACACCAACCACGCTTCCACCACCTCCAGAACGTCCTCCTTTCACCAACAGTCAAGTTCAGGGCGTGAGGTCTTCTTCCAGGGGATGGGAGGATGAATGTTTCCTTGCACCAGGAAAACTTCCACCACCTCCAGAACGTCCTCCTTTCACCAACAGTCAAGTTCAGGGCGTGAGGTCTTCTTCCAGGGGATGGGAGGATGAATGTTTCCTTGCACCAGGAAAACTTCCACCACCTCCAGAACGTCCTCCTTTCACCAACAGTCAAGTTCAGGGCATGAGGTCTTCTTCCAGGGGATGGGAGGATGAATGTTTCCTTGCACCAGGAGCCACCTGTGCTCCAGGAGAGAAGGAGGTGGGGCTTGGGTGATAAATGTGTCCCTGTGGCTTGTGGGCAGGAGGGTGTTTGTGGTAGAAGGCGGCGGCTGGGCTCTACGCTGAAAGGTGCAAGAGACTCCAAAACCTGCATTGCCTTGGTCAAGTTTGCACTTTTGGGTTGTGCCTGGCTCTCTTAACAGAAGTGGAAAGGTGTCTCTCGGTCCACCCGAGTCCTGGATTACAACAGCACGCTAGGCAAGGACCAAGAGGCTGTCCAAGCTCAAACGGAGTGGTATGTCCCCGAATCAAAAGGTTGCCCTGGGCAAAATCCTGCACTAAAACTTAACGTGTCCTTCCAACACGATCTCAAATCCCTTTAATGTCTCGTGGAGACATTAAAATGATTCCTCGATCACACTCCCTTCTCTTTCGCATAGCTGGCATTACTGAGCACCCTGAGTCATAGATAATAGAGAAGAGGCTGCGTGCTTCCAAAGCATCACCACACAAATAAAGCAATGCAGCTCCATTCTGATCTGTTCATGCTGCACGAAATCAGAGATTTTTCAAACTACTCGTGGGCTGGTACAGGGTCACGTTTCACACAAAAATCAAATTTGGGGAGTTCATTGGCTCAGGCTCAGCTCTTCCACGGCGAGTTGCTTTGGGTTTTGCAAGTCAGCCCCCACCACTGGTCTTCCCAGTGCTTAAAACTGCCTTGAAGTTGTACTGTTTCTGCTGTAGTAACAGTAGAAATTGTTAAACAGTAGCTAGGTTGCTCCTGAAACGTAGTTACATTTTTTGGAATGAGTTCAATCTGTGCCCAAACATCAGTGGAACCATCTTCAGAGTAAAAAAAAAGTCTGACTAAAATAACATTTAATGTACTGTTCTTTGTTTAGCCTATTTCTTTTAATATATAATTGTTGGTATGTAGCAATTTTTGCAGGCTAAAAACATGTTAGGACAACATATTTCTGTTTAGAAAAAAATATTTAATTTTCTTTGAAAATACTTGCTAGACCTGAAAAATTCAGGGCATAAGGCTTATGAAGAAAGAAGCAGCTTCTGTCCAGGCAAGTCTTACTCACCATGGAATTTTTTGCAGCTGCCCCATAAGAATCTGATGGTTCCCAGCGCTGGAACGACAATGAGAGGGGATGGACAGGGAATATCCACTGTCCTTTTTCATTACATTTGAGAAAAGACAAGCTGCATAAACAAAAGCAGAAGAAAACAACAGGCCACGGCGACTATTCGGGGCACGGGGGCAGGACATTGGTTTCTGGAGTCAAGTAGAGCACCCAGAGAAGGATTTTGTCTGATTGCCAGTACAGGAATTCGACTGAACAGGAAAACTGAGAAAATATTCAATGCTATAATTACCCAACTCAAATCACAGTAACTTTAAAGTGTATCAGATTGATTTTTTTCCCCTCTTTTTTTTTTTTATTCCAATATTTTCCAGTTCTACACCTTTTATTATTTTGAAAGTCCAAAAATATAGGAAAAAGTCAGTCTTAGGTTCTTTTTATTTTCAACTGTGTATGTCAGAGATAGCTTTAGAACAAGCTAACATTACTGTGGTTCAGGTGTATGCAACTGGTACAGTTCAGTAGTACATAAACAACTCTAAAACAAATGCACCATAGAACTTAAATTACCAAAAATAAACAATATTGAACTATGTAGGGCAGCAGGTAAAAACAATTACCTGTAGGTCTTGCACACTAAAAGAAAAATACCTACTTATGATTGAAATTATGAAGTTCTACTACAGATTATTGAGATATGTTACAAAGAAAAAGAAACTTGAAAAGTTGTCGTCACATTTTGGTTTTGTTCCAGTGATGTACAGTCACATGAAATCTTACATCAGTTTTTCATGAAATTAACATCTGTTTACTTTAACTGCAGTATTTCATGAGTTCATGATAGTTTTTTTGGTGTGGTTGTTTGTTTGTTTGTTTTTTAATTTTTGAAAAACTTGCATGTAAAAACATTGAAAGTAAAATAAGGTTGCAGGTTGTTTACAGATTCCTTATGGATTATAGGAGTAAAAGCAGTCAGGAAGCTGCAGTGTTTTTAACATTGGTAAACAAATACTGGATTAAAGTGCAACAGTCCTTCTGACAGCACACCTGCTCCCTGCTGAAAGGAAAACTCTTCCTCTCTGCAGAGAAGTGAAGAAAAAAAAAAAATTCAGTGTCAGGGTTGTTTCTCTCTGAAGTCAGTGATGGCCTTCCAGAGCGTGCATAGCATTCCTCCCCTGCAAAAAAAAAACACAAATCAGAGAGATGCTCAGCTACAAAGACACTCTTCAGCCCGACAGAGTTCCAGTTTAGGTGCCTTCTGACTTTCTTGCTCTGGTTTTCACCAGTGAAATCGAGTGGGAAGGCTGATCAAAGGTGAAATTCAACACACGATACACAAAGAGGGAACAGAGTCCTTTGCTGATTACAGTACAGGGCAATCTTTCCACTTTCCAGATGCCTGCTGTCTGGAATTCAGACTTCTGGTCCAAAGGACCTGTGTAACCCCCCGGCAGAACTTCCAACATTGTGAAAGTGTTGATTATGAAACAATCTTACCACCTGCCTTTTTTTTTTTTTTTTAACATTTTTTATTTAGTTACTTATTTTTAAATTGCCTGGGCACACACACAGAGCGTTTGATAACTTCTGGTGTTTCTACCCAAACTTGGTTCTGCAGTGACCCACCCACAGGCCATGATTAGCTGAAATCCAGTGTTAGTTTTGCAGTCCAGGAGTAGTATTCCTGAAGTTCTGATGATGATAAACTACAGAAACTTTCACTATCTCAACCTTTTAAAATAAAAACAAAGCTCTAACGCGAAACCCAGTCTCTCCAGCTGTAAGGTGAAAGTTTAACTTTAAAATTTTCCAATTGCTTTCCTTTACTAGAAAAGCTCATTTTAAAAATGTAAAAAAATATCAGGAATGCATCAGGACACAAATAGATAATGGAAAGTGTTACTTATTTTAAATTCTAGTAAATAGAGGCTCAGTATCAGTTATTTTCTCTTGTAACAGCACGGTCTGTTTCACTTTGAAGCCTTACCTCAGTCTCAAACATTTCAGGTCATCTCGTGTAACATAGCAGAGAACATCCATTAACGTATAGTCTTCAGCCAAGAACTACCAAAAACAAACATACAAAAAGTCTAAATGAACATTTTGTTAGAAATATAATTTAACTTCTTAAATTTTAGATACCGACCGCCCTTAAGGATAGAAGTTTTAAGTTTAGAAGACACTTAAAATCGGGCCACAATGCAACAAATTAATCCACATTGTTTCTAGAAATACAGTGAAACTACTTTAACTTTTAGCACAATCTGAAAGGTGTAATGCTTTTACAGCTACTCAAAACTGTTGCCAACAGGCCTTTCTGTTGTTATCACTGATACCTCAGAGTGACTGACTTCAACGAACACAAATTAGAGCCTAATTAATGCCACATTTCATCCACCAGGAAATGAAAAACACCAGTCAAGCCCTACGTTTTCAAAAGTGGCATCTAAATTTGATGTGCTTGAATCTTGAGGAACCTTTGATCGGATCTGTAGGAGTGCTAACTGCATGCAGGTTTTTCTGAAGTCAGCTGAAATTCTGAGATGCTCACCAGCTCTAAAATTATGTAATTTTTGCTGCAGAGCAGACTTCAGGAAATTTCCCTTCAACACAGTTAGCTAAGGCTGAACGTGTACCCTGTATCCAGGGTACATTCAGCAGCAACTGCTGCAATGTGTTAAAGACACTGAAAAATTATCAACCAGAGCAATACTCTCTATTTACCAGGGTATTTTATTCCCTTATTCCTAATTTGATACAGGAATTATTAACAATACTGCATTTTAATTAAGACCTTCGTATTCGCGGCTTTTTCCTGTCCTTTGGAAACAAGTTCATCTCTCAAAATGGGCTGAAGAAATTGAAAAGGTTTGGTGTCTTCTTGCCTGGAGTCACCAAAGAGAGGGTGTGAAGGGGATCATCGTTACCTTGTTGATAGTGGCCTCATCAGCCCCGTGAAGGCTCAGCCAGTTGATGAGATCAGGGTCTTCGGTCCCCGCGCCGGCGGGATGACGGTGACACACAGACAACCCAGGAATATCTAAAACAAGCATTTTTCAGAACAAGGTTTTGTGTTGCCAAAGCAACCTCTCTTGTCGTTTTTTTGACTGCTGAAGCACTTTCTCCAGCGAGCTTCCCCTTCGAGCTTAGAATACCAGTATAATAAAGAGATATATTTCTATATTGAATATACAAATATTATACATTTATACCAGTATAAATAAAGATAAGTGTCAATTCCCAAAGCACACGCTTAATTCCAGTTTATAGCCAGTTATACACCAATTACTCTACTTGGTCAGGGATGGAGTTAAAGTACTGTGAGCACTGATACAGATGTTTTCTGTGCTCTTCAGAAAACGACTTTTCCTAGTACAAGGCACATCAGTTTCACTGTTTCTACCCTAAAGCTGTTGCACCAATTTAACTAAACCGTTCACAGTGTAACTCCTGTAATTGGTGCGTGGGCAACGCCTGAGGATCGAGGATCAGGTGCTTTTGGAAAGCAACACTTCTTTGATGCACATTACACTGAAACATCAAACTGCATTAGCACTTCCACCTTCCCCAGGGCAGGTACATATGTCAGACTCAACTTCCCTCAGTGAGCTTTAAGTTGTATTTACATCTCGCCAATTAAATCCTCTTGAACTTTCCGTGTAACAACTGGACCAGTCTGTAATTCAGAAAATACAAACCTAAACCTACTAGATTATCCTCTTTACAAATAATATTTATTCTGTAGGATGTGAGCCCTGCACTCTTCCACAATCAAAAATATTTAAATCGTACCATTCTTTGTACACGATTAACCAATTCAGTCGTTTGTTTTTGCAACGTACCTTATTACTTCAAAGCAAATCCTACCAGGAGCAGCACAATAAAGCATCTCAATAAAACTCAAAAAACTCTCAAAAAAATAACTCAATAAAAAGAACAGAAGTTTAACTGCCACTGTCTTCACCCGTAGGCAGTATGAAACTTTCCTCTGAAAGCTCTTCTCACTTACCTATTGGCTGTGACCTAAGCCGCAGGTTTCGGATCTCTTGATCTTTTTCTTCTATAGCTTGATGTAAGAGGACTTGAAATTCTCTCTCCTTTTGAACCAACTCCTCCAATAACCTGAGAAGTTAACAGAAAGGAAGTACGCATTCACTGAAGTTCTACACTTAAACTAGAAACTACCTTGACCAAGATAAGGACAGACTTTCATAGGAATAGATTTATTGTGATCCATAAAGACATAAACATTTACTGGTTCTTAAAGCTATAGCTCTTAAAAAAAAAAAAGCCTAAAACACACCAGCCTCCATATACACAGAATCACAGAATCTTCTAGGTTGGAAGGGACCTTAAAGATCATCTTGTCCAACCGTCAGCCTAACTGACAAAAATAGACACCCACACAACAAACAAGGAGCATCATCACTAAACCAGACCTCCCAGCACTACATCAACCCGTCTTTTGAACACCTCCACCCAACGTACAGGTGGAATGGTACAAAATTTCGGTGAAATTTCTACAGCCAGCATTCTGTTTTTAAACAAAACTGTTTAATTGAGAGGAACAAATGTCAAAGTGTTTCATAAACCAAGGGCCCAACTTCGTGCCATAATCCTTTGTGAGGAGAAATGCCAGTTCACCTCTCTCCAGGAGACCTTTTCAAAGGTATGGCAAGGGTGGAGTTGGGATGGAAATGAGGTGAAAACTTATGGCTGCAGTTCTTAAATGTCAAAAATAAGTTCTCAGCCACAAAAGGGCTTTCCCTCATCTACCAGGCACTACCCTCCCATCCTATATGAAGAGTGAGAAAGGAGGAGGCAAAATACCTTGTGTAATTCAAAGCAATTACATCTGAGAATGTCAAGAAGAAACAAATTGGAACCCATGTCTGACTTCCTTCCCAACACAAACCCAGAGAGATTGAGTGCTCAGCACATTTCGAACCGATCAAAGGCAAAGAATCAATGGAAAATTAGTTTCTGAAACTGCTGCAATTTGTTATTTTAGAAAAGTGTTTTAGTAAAAAGGAGGACTTGGGGAAAATATATATTCAGGAGCTTGGACGTGGAGAACACACTCATAAACCTGTCACTGACTTCTGAGTCTTAGGAAGTCCTGCCTTGAAAGAATTGCAGCACCTTCACCCCTTCCTCAAAGCCTTTGTCAGCCTGAGAACTATGCAATAACTGTTCTATTTTGGTATGATTTTGTTTCTTTTTTTTTAAATTTTATTTATTTATACAGGTTAAGCACTGCAATTTTTTTCCTGGGTTGAAAAAGGCCTTCGGGGCCAATAAAATAATCCACTATTCTCTCTTGATAAGCTTGCTGCTTATGTCAATAAAGCTTTAATTAATCCTTACACAAATACTGCTACTTTATTAAAACTAGTACCATCCAATGAATTACTCTAATTATGGCAAAATTCTTGGGCGCATTTAAAAGTGAAGTGAAATATAACATTTTAATTTAAATTGGAACAGTAATTACAAAGAATGTTCTAGCAGCACAACAACTGTCTTACTGAAGACATGGTCAGGGTCATAGTCAAAATTTACTGAGGTCAGTAGGAAATTCAATGTCACAAATCAGATGCTGCAAAAGCTAAAATATCAACTTTAAACAGACCATCTGGTATATTTTAATGACAACAAAATTATATAGAAAATTATTTGGATAAAGTGATGGAGACAGAGATTTGCCTCTGACATTTGCTAAAGAAAAAACCCAAAAGAACCACTTCTCAGGTTAAAAGTAGAATATGTGTGTTTCTGAGAAAAAAATCCAGTATCCAAATTTCTGGCTTATTTCTTCCTTTAAACGACACACCTATTTTTTCCCATCTTTCTCTGTTGAACTGAATGTGTTTAATAAAAAGGTAATGCTTCTGTAAGCACAGATCCTGCTGCAGTGAATTCTGTGCACAGATCTGAAGCCCTTTCCTTGTGGGGTTGGCGTGTGGCTGTTGACTCGCTTGAGTTCATCACCCAAGAATAACTATAGAAAGGAACAGCAAGTTCTGCCCTAATGGAAACAAAACACAACACCATTCATCAGCCATACGCGGCGTATGAAGGAGAGAAAAAGCAGAAGCTTGGCAGCAAGCTCAATTCTTTCAGCCCTTCCTTGAAAGGGCACCTGAAATCAAAACTGACCTTCACTTGCATCACTGTTGTTCTGAAATGAATAAAACTAATGTAAGTGATCAGCCACGATGAGCATCGTTTAAATGAACAGCTTGCAGTACTGTGGAATTTTGATAGTGTGGATTTTTGAGAGCAGCCCTGAGGAGAAGGACCTGGGGGTGCTGGTGGACAAGAAGCTCAACATGAGCTGGAAATGTGAGCTGGCAGGACAACTACATCCTGGGCTGCATCAAGAGAAGCGTGGCCAGCAGGTCCAGGGAGGTGATTCTGCCTCTCTGCTCTGCTCTGGTGAGACCCCAACTGGAGCACTGTGTCCAGCTCTGGAGTCCTCAGCACAGGAAGGACATGGACCTGTTGGAACAGGTCCAGAGGAGGCCACGAAAATCATCAGAGGGCTATGCGCTGGCAGGACAACTACATCCTGGGCTGGATCAAAAGAAGTGTGGGCCAGCAGGGCCAGGGAGATGATTCTGCCTCTCTACTCTGCTCTGGTGAGACCCCACCTGGAGCACTGTGTCCACCTGTGCAGTCCTCAGCACAAGAAGGACATGGACTTGTTGGAACAGGTCCAGAGGAGGCCACGAAAATCATCAGAGGGCTGGAGCCCCTCTGCTGTGAGAACAGGCAGAGAGAGTTGGGGTTGTTCAGCCTGGAGAAGAAAAGGCTCTGGGGAGACCTTAGAGCCTCTTCCAGTCCCCAAATGGGGCTATGGGAGAGATAGAATCATAGAATCATAGAATTGCCCAGGCTGGAAGGGACCTCCAAACGAGGGGTAATGGTTTTAAACGGGAAGAGTGGAGATTTAGATGAGATCTTAGGAAGAATTTTTTAACTGAAAAAGGGGAGATTCAGATCAGATACCAGGAAGAAATTCTTTGCTGTGAGGGTGATGAGACACTGGAGCAGGTTGCCCAGAGAAGCTGTGGCTGCCCCATCCCTGGAGGGGTTCAAGGCCAGGCTGGATGGGGCGTGGAGCAACCTGGTCTGGTGGGAGGTGTCCCTGCCCATGGCAGGGGGTTGGAACTGGATGACCTTTAAGGTCCCTTCCAACCCAACCCATTCTATGATGCTGTATTCTAGCACATGTATTTTAAAAGTGAAACTATACGTGCTGTCACAAAGTAGGCCAGTGTCCCCTGATGTCCAGGCTTACCTGTTTGTCTCTAATTTCAGCCTGCCCAGCTGGACACTCAGTGACCTGTGAGCAGCCTGGGAGTCGTGGGACACCGTCGAGCTGAGCGTGCTGACACCTGAGGTAGCTACTGCATCTTCCATCACGATGCAAGGCTGCCGGATCGTTTGATTCTGAGGCTGTTCATCTTGATCTTCTTCCACTTCTATATCGTCTTGATCCGCTGTATCACTCTCAGATGCAAGACTAAAATGTGGCCTCAATTCTATTAGTAGCAGAAAAATATAAGAAAAAAAAAAAACTTTAAAGATGTTAAACATTAAAACAGAAGGAGACCTAAGTGACTATTTACAGCTCATCCTACAGCTTTGCTTAAACCAGACCTGAAATTTCTGTAGCTAGGGAATTGGTATTAGGTTTTTAAGACCACTCAGACCATATCAGCATCTTATTTTATGCTGATTATTATTCAACCTATGGAATGTTCAAAAGCTCTGAAAACCCCAAAATTTGGATGAATAGGATTCCAGATCTGGCTAGCATTTCATGCCAGATCGTGCTGAAGTATTACGTGCAGCAGAAGTCCTTCTTTTTCCCATTCTCAGTGGTTTGTAATTTCTTATGTGTCTAACTTGAAGTGTTTTATTAAACAACCAACCATTATTTTTTCTTATATCCAGCTATTCCTGTTGTTGTTATTCCGGCATATTTAGCACTCTCTCATTATAAGAACATTGTGTTTACCAAAAAATATATATATAAGGTATAAAGAGGAAATAACAAATGGACCCCTTTCCCGACAATTAAAAGCAGCACATTTCCCTTCTGCTCATCAGAGAATCCTGCCCATTTCCTAACGATGCACATCCACAAAACCACAGATATAAAGCTATATCTGAACTCTGCTTTGTTATTCCCTCTTTAAATTACCTACCAGAGCTTTCCAGATATGCAAGATACGCACACAAGATCTTATACTCCTACAAAACTTATTATTGCAACAACATCTGCTTGTTAATTCTAACCATTTAATATAAATCTTTCTTCCTTCCTTCCTTCAATTGTGGTTTCTGGTTGCTGAGCAGTCCCCTTAGTCTCCTCACCAAAACACACTTTTTTTTTTTTCCTGAATCACAGTTGGTTTTTGTCCTTTCTGCTGAAGAACTAATGAGTACATTGCTCTTCTTTACAAAAGGGTTCCTTTTGGATTCCTTGAGCCATTTCATCTCTTTTCAATGCTAAACAGTATTTTCAGCCTTGAAAAAGGTAAGATCAACAGAGCCCGGCTTCCTCTAGATTAAAGAAAGCAGATCTATTATATCTATATTATATGTACTCAAATGTTGCTAGGTAAATATGTCTGAATTTGCTTTGAACTTCTGCATCACGCTCATAAGAAGTTCATTTTGCTGTTCTTCATCACCAGGCAGTACAACTACACAACATCTAACCCTTCCCACTCCTAAAACACCCCATAACTTTTAGAAGGGTTAAGGCCAGAGATAAAGCTTCACCTCATTCATAGAATGGAAAAAAAAAAAAAAAAAAAAAGAAAAAAGAGTGAGACAAAGGCAAGGGGAAGCAAGCAGGAGGAGGGTAAGGTAATTGGGGAAGAGGCAGATGATCAGGGCCTGAAAGCAGTAACAGGACACAGAGGCTTTTGTTTAAGCTTCACCATGTAGAATTAACACTGATACTGAGCTGTATGGGGAAGAAGAGTCTATTTAAGGAGGAATTCTACAGCACTCCTGTTATACAGCAATAAAGAGTCTGTTAAAGGTGTCTGGCATTCTAATCAAAAGACAGGTTTTCCTTCTAACTCGAAAGCAACACAGAAACCCTATTTATGCCTCGTTGGTTGTGCTGGGGATACGGAAAACACCAGGGAGAACAGGAAGAGCTCTGATTTTCCTTGGAATTTTCAGATCCCCTTGTTGATAATTTAAGACAACCCACCGCAGAAAACAGGAACAGAAGTATTTTGCTTCAGACTTAAAGCATTAAGTTTCACCATTAATTCCAGTGCAGGGAACAGGGGAATCACAAGCTTAGAAGTTAAGGAGCAGCAGAGAAACTAACTCTGGAAATAGGTAGAGTATTAACAGAAGGGGCCACAGTTTCTTCTACACAGACTTCTTCCCTCAGCCCAGCCATGCATTCTACTTCCACAACATTCCAAATCCAGTATTCAAACTTCAGGCATGGCACATTTTAAAATTATTTCCATTTTAAACACCTTCTGACCAGGAGCCAGAGAGACTTCCGAGTGTTCCAAAAAAGCAGATAATTAACCTACACTTTGTAAAACAACTTCCAAAATCAGCACATGCTGGCAAGTGATCTGTCCTTCCGATTTCAGGAGGTAGCACTGTGCACCTCCAAAAAACATCAGGCCCCAGAGCACCTCAGCCTACTACTGCTCGCTGTGTTGCAGAATTGCTTAGGATTACATATCCTGGAAAAAGGTGCTTTCCAAAATAACTTGGACAACTTGCCCTGGTGAGGCATTCTGGGCTCCCCAGTTCAAGAAGGTCAAGGAACTACTGGAGAGGATACAGCAGAGGGCTACAAAGGTGATGAGGGGCCTAGAACATCTCTCTTACAAGGAGAGGCTGAGGGACTTGGGTCTTTTTAGTCTTGAGAAGAGAAGGCTGAGGGGGGATCTGATCAATGCCTATAAATACTTAGAGGGTGGGTGTCAAGAGGAGGGGGCTGCTCTTTTTTCAGTGGTGCCCAGTGACGGGACAAGAGGAAATGGGCACAAACTTGAACATAAGAAGTTCCATCTAAACATGAGGAGGAACTTCTTGACTTTGAGGGTGGCAGAGCCCTAGAACAGGCTGCCCAGGGAGGTGGTGGGGTCTCTGTCTCTGGAGACATTCAAAACCCTCCTGGAGATGTTCCTGTGCAACCTGCTCTGGGTGGACCTGCTCTGGCAGGGGGGTTGGACTAGATGATCTCCAGAGGTCCCTTCCAACCCCATAGCATCCTATGATTCTGTGACAACACACTGATTAGTTTTTGAGTTGCAAAACAGACAGTGAACAGGAAAAAGGCTACCACTAGTAAGAGAAACATCGTAATCGCAGCTCTAAAGCATGTTTAAGGAGATCAGCTAATAAATATTTGCTGAGCATTAAGAAATTACTCACCTGGGACCAGAATGGTGATAGCAGTCTGCACAGCTTTTCTGATGATGCTGTCCAATGCAAACATCCAGTGTGGCTTGATGTTATGATTTCGGAGAACTTTATTGACCTATGAACAGAGAATTTGGTTCAGATATCCCACCCCCAACTTAAAACTATAATATATGACATATACTTAACACAAGTTTACACACTTTTTGCCCTTCTGATGCTCTCCCTCATGCCTCCAGGAGGGAGTGAAAACTCGACTGAATTGGGGCTTTCCTCTACCCACCAAAGAACCTACATCCCCTCAGTCCTGTTGCCAATGGCCACGAGATGGCACTTGGACACCGTGCTTGGACTGGGGTGGTCTGTCAGCAGGTGCCAGGGGAGCCTGCCCTGTGTCCCACACCTGGGCAACACCTGCTTCATCGCCCCAAAAGGCTGGCCCTGAGCCCTCCCAACCAACACAATTCCTTGCCATACTGACTGCTACCAAAAGACTGACATTTGTCCCAGTCCTGGAGGGGTTCAAGGCCAGGCTGGATGGGGCTTGGAGCAACTTGGTTTGGTGTGAGGTGTCCCTGCCCAGGGCAGGGGGTTGGAACTGGGTGACCTTTAAGGTCCCTTCCAACTCTCACCATTCTATGATTCTATGAATTATTCTTCTAAAACAAAAGCCCAAGAGCTCTAGTAAACATTTTATGGGTTCATATTAAAGAAACTTTAAAAGTAAATGTTAGTGGTATTTAAAGATTTTGTATGTGAGTACCTTCTTGTTCAAATATATAACTGGGCTGGAGCACCTCTCTCATGAAGACAGGCTGAGAGAGTTGGGGTTGTTCTGCCTGGGGAAGGGAAGGTTCCAAGGAGACCTTATAGCACCTCCCAATACCTAACAGGGACTACAGGAGAGATGGGGAGGGACTCTTGATCAGGGAGTGGAGCCATAGGACGAGGGGTAACGATTTTAAACTGAAAGAGGAGAGATTTAGAAGAGATCTCAGGAAGAAATTCTTTCTTGTGAGGGTGGTGAGATACTGGAAGAGGTTGCCCAGAGAAGCTGTGGCTGCCCCATCCCTGGAGGGGTTCAAGGCCAGGCTGGATGGGGCTTGGAGCAACCTGGTAAGGTGGGAGGTGTCCCAGGTCTTTAAGGTCCCTTCCAACCCAAACCATTCAACAATTCTGTGATATTTTTAGCTCTGTGCAGCCTATTTAAGTACTGAAGAAGCACAATGTAACTTTGTCAAGAACACAACAATCCACAGTAATGTGATTTAGCTATTTACGTTACAGCACAAACCTACATTTTCTTGCTTGCTCCGATGCGATTATGAAGTGTTGTTACCCGAGGTGACCTTATTAAGACCCGAGAACAAGGGAACTACTTTCCCCGACTTTTAGCACTATCCCAGTCTCTGCAGTATCTGAGGTCTTGATACTGATCTGGATTTCAGTCTTCTACTGAAATCTACAGAAATCTAACGCGCTTCCAAAAGAATTAAGCCTGGGCACATATAAAGCAAAGTCTTTCGTGACCTTATTAAGACCCGAGAACAAGGGAACTACTTTCCCCGACTTTTAGCACTATCCCAGTCTCTGCAGTATCTGAGGTCTTGATACTGATCTGGATTTCAGTCTTCTACTGAAATCTACAGAAATCTAACGCGCTTCCAAAAGAATTAAGCCTGGGCACATATAAAGCAAAGTCTTTCTTTGAACTTCCTGTAGGTTATCTTTGTTAAATAATAGAGAGACAGTAATGAGACAGACATATATCAGTTAAAACCCAGCAAATTGTAATGATTAAGTTAACAGAGGAGGGGTAAATTCTTTACGGAAAACAACATGACTCGGGCAATTACCACCAAACAACCAATGCTCAGCAATATTTCTATCAGAAAAACAACCCAGATATTTTTACTTCCCCCTCCTCATTTTTTTCTTGACCTTGTATGTTTAGTTTTTTCTTCCAAGTGTCAAACCAGCATGACCAGGAGGCTAAGTAGAATAGAGAGCTGAAGTGTCCTCAAAGCGAAGACGCAGAGAAAACTTTGATTTGTGAAAACCTCTCTTTTAAAGATTCATTTCACACATTAGAGATTTTTTTCGTAAACAGCATCTAATCCTTGTCAGTTTAGTCTATGCAACAAACAGTTTACACGCTGTGCAATCCTTCCTGACAGCTCTTTCACTTGCCAGAGTGCCCCAGGTTTAAATGTTAACAAAATTATCCACCTCAAATGCCTGCTTGGATTGTCGTTTCATTTTTACTACATGACTTCAGTCTGGACAAGTGATGCCCAGCACAGCTGCACCCTCCCATGCTGATTCTTCATCTTAAGCACTAAGCCTAATTGCTTGTGAACCAACATTTAAATACAGAGCTTAAGAAGAAAAAAACATTTGTTTTCAGTAAACTAGCTATTTAATGGGTATCCACGCGTGTGCTTGCTTGCTGTAGCAAATCATAAATTTTGCATTAATTATTGATAGAAAAGTAACCTATTTTTCCCATCCTTCTTATCCGTCTTATTATAAATTGAAATGAAGATGTGCCTAGTTTGGCAGAAATTTGCTGCTACCCAAAAATGCTAGAACAACTCAATACAATATTACAAGGTTGACAGACTACTATTGGAGACACAGGGTGGTTTAATAGATTAGTTTCTAAGAGAAGTCAACATCATGAGATCTGCATTTACACAGGATAAGCCTGACATTGACTGTTGGTCTAATATACCAGAAAACCCTCCAAAAGGAGATTTATTTATTTTTTAAAAGGCGTGGCTGCTTTAGTATGATGATGTCAAGTTTATACAAGTATGCTGAACCTTCTACACCTTTAATCAGCTAAATCATAGAATCATAGAATCATTCAGGTTGGAAGAGACCCTTCGGATCATCAAGTCCAACCATCTACCCTACTCTACAAAGTCCTCCCCTACACCATATCCCTCAGAACCCCATCTAAACGTCCCTTAAACACATCCAGGGATGGTGACTCAACCACCTCCCTGGGCAGCCTGTTCCAATGCCCTATCACTCTTTCTGTGAAAAATTCCTTCCTAATGTTCAATCTAATCCTACCTTGTTGGAGCTTGAAGCCGTTCCCTCTTGTTCTGTCGTTAATTACCTGTGAGAAGAGACCAGCACCAACCTCTCTACAGTGTCCTTTCAAGTAGTTGTAGAGAGTGATGAGGTCTCCCCTCAGCCTCCTCTTCCCCATAATAACCAGGCCCAGCTCCTTCAGCTGCTCTTCATATGATTTGTCTTCCAGGCCCTTCACTAGTTTCGTTGCCCTCCTCTAATCCCAACTGTTGTCTTCAGGGTCCGTGTCCTGCTCAAAGGATCACATGGGAACCCCACCAGGTCATGGCTCTGGGCTGGGGTTTTGTTATCACAGGTTCAAAGCCTTAAAATATTGTTGTTTCAGTAACCCTGGGTGGAAGTTAAGGAAGTTTTCTTTGCTTCTGGCTTCTAGGTGGGGGTTATTTGGGGGGGCAGTTTTGTGCACACAGTTCTTAGTAAAAACGACCACTTACAGCATCTTGAAAGCCGAAGAGCACGAGCTGCACTTGACTGATACCGTGGCTGTCGAAGTCTAACTCCAGCTTCAGCTTTGACAGAGTGTTTGCGATGATTTTGCGATCAGTGGACCGTACGAACTCTCGGAGGCTGGAAACAAGCGTGGTGATATGTTCCCATTTTAGTTTGGGTTCTTCAGCTCCCTGGTAGAGGAGAGAAAGAAATAGTTTTGATGGCTGTTTGGACAGTGGATTTTCAGAAATTCTACTGCGATGGTTAAGGGAAAGGTGCAGCTGCACGTCAGGTAATGGACCAGCAGCACAGAGCTCCACCACTGGCCCCCTGGAAATGCACATTAGCACAGAATAACAGAACAATATGGGGTTGGAAGGGACCTCTGGAGAGCATCTAGTCCAACCCCCCTGCCAAAGCAGGTCCACCCAGAGCAGGTCCACAAGAACACGTCTGGGTGGGTTTCAAAGATCTCCAGACAAGGACACTCCACCACCTCTCTGGGCAGCCTGTTCCAGGGCTCTGCCGCCCTCAAACGAAAGAAGTTCCTCCTCATGTTGAGATGGAACTTCTTATGTTCAAGTTTGTGCCTATTTCCTCTTGTCCTGTCCCTGGGCACCACTGAAAAAAGACTGGCCCCATCCTCTTGACACCCACCCTTTAAGTATTTATAAGTGTTGATCAGATCCCCCCTCAGTCTTCTCTTCACCACATTAAAAAGACCCAAGTCCCTCAGCCTATTCATTATCTGACGAGCAAGTAGTTGGCTTCATTTTGTATGAATTCTGACAAGCAAGTAGTTGGCTTCATTTTGTATGAATTGCTGAAATATATGTGCACGCTATTGTCTATGTCTCCTTGTACAGGAGTGAAAATATAGGTATATGTGCACACTGCAGTCTATATGTCTCCTTGTACAGGAGTGAAAATATAGGAATAAATATAGCGTGCACTGAATACTACAAATTACTCTTAATTGCAAACAAACACGTACTTTGCAGTGCCTCTAATTTCAGAGTGCCTCAGAGACAACATGCAAAGTCCCACAATAGCATTTAAAAGAAGGGATTAGTCAAAGTTCCGCAGGAGGCTCAGAAAGAGACTAGTTCTTTCCCACATAATTTCCCTCGATACGGAACTTGGTCTGCAAATTTCTCACCTTTCCATTATAAATATTCATATGCCTATTTTTAAAAGCTTTTGTGTTTTTGCATGAGCTACCAAAGTAGCAAAAAGCTCAAAAGCATTCATCAGAACAACCAGCATAAGTAACTAGGAAGCAGATGACTGTATTTACCCTCTAGAGTTATGCCAACTGAATATAAATTTCAATTCCAAATGTGAAAATTAAACCACAGACAGAAAACCATACTAGCTGTTCAACATGAAGTATTAGATGTTCATTCTGAAGGCAGTTAAGTAATTATTTATACAGACTAAAGATGTCTAACATTGATTTCCGTAACAGAAGGATACACGGTGTTTGGTTCTGTTGTATTTGCCAGTTTTATGCCATGAATATTACAGTTGGCCAGACATCAAGAACTCTGTTTGCCAACAATGTTGAGGTTTTAATTATAGTTAACCAATTGTGATCAGGATGAAACAAAGACAATTTGATTATTTTACAGAGAGAGAAGCTAAAAAAATTGAAGAAGCTCTAGAGCTGTCAAACGTTCCACTGACTAAAGCACCCACCTCTGGGGCAAGAGATCCCAGCCCCTGATCCTGATCTTCTTTGATTTCAAGAATTCACCCCAAGATTGGCTATACTGAAGTGAATCCCTCACTCTGTCCTGCAGCAGCTCACCTCCTTTTCATGTAAATAATTAAAAAGCCATTGGAGCAGAGAGGTGGACACACAACACACTGTAGCCCTGGACTAGAAGATCCAAGGCCATCAAGCCATGCTGGTGACAGGGCAATCAGTATGGCTCCCTAATAAGGAACAGCGACTATTTTGGGAGGGTCACCCTCCTCTCCTAGCCCCCACACCCACTGACTCTGTTGAAACTGTTTTTATTGAAAGCTTTTGTGAAGGGAAAAGCACTATCAAAGCCTACGTCCTGATGAGGCCTAACAAGCAAGTCAGGCTTCCATCTATTGGTAACTTTTTGCATTTCAGCAGGACGTAACAAGAAGCCAGCTCAACTTCCCTGTAACTGCAGTTATCACCACTTGCTGGTGGTTTAAGTAAATTTCCTGCTCTTTGACCAGGATCCCTCTTTCAAGGGAAAAAACAGTGTTGGGGAGTGAGGGTTCTGCATCCTCTTGAAGGGCAGACAGTTCTGTCCATGTGTGCTCTGAACTCTTTGGGTCTACAACTCTGCATCTCTCTGCTCCTGTCTTGGGCTGAGGAAGGCAGGAAACACCAAGCACCCTCTCTGGATCTCGTGATTTGTGTTCCAGCCTCTCACAATGGCTGATTAATCCTTTCATACACACGCTAACAACTGTGTCTGTTATAGCAACGCTCTAGCCAAGCACAGATCACAGGCACCTCTCTTACTGCCTTCTATTTTAACACTTTCTATAGTTACCAGGACAACTGTGGTAACCAGTTGTGGTCCCCAACCTCCTCCCACCAAGAGTTAGATCCTCCTCCCCTAACCCCCACTCTGTTGAAACTGTTTTTATTGAAAGCTTTTGTGAAGGGAAAAGCACTATCAAAGCCTACGTCCTGATGAGGCCTAACAAGCAAGTCAGGCTTCCATCTATTGGTAATTTTTTGCATTTCAGGAGGATGTAATAAGAAGCCAGCTCAACTTCCCCTTAACTGCAGTTATCACCACTTGCTGGTGGTTTAAGTAAATTTCCTGCTCTTTGACCAGGATCCCTCTTTCAAGGTAGAAAACGGTGTTGGGGAGTGAGGGTTCTGCATCTTCTTGAAGGGCAGACAGTCCCATCCACGTGTGCTCTGAACAATTTGGCCCTACAACTCTGCATCTCTCTGCTCCTGTCTTGGGCTGAGGAAGGCAGGAAACACCAAGCACCCTCTCTGGATCTCGTGATTTGTGTTCCAGCCTCTCACAATGGCTGATTAATCCTTTCATACACACGCTAACAACTGTGTCTGTTATAGCAACGCTCTAGCCAAGCACAGATCACAGGCACCTCTCTTACTGCCTTCTATTTTAACACTTTCTATAGTTACCAGGACAACTGTGGTAACCAGTTGTGGTCCCCAACCTCCTCCCACCAAGAGTTAGAAGCTCTTCTTATTGGTATGGCAGCAATTTGCCATTACATTAACCAAAGCACATGCATAAGAATCACATGAGCTTGCATCAGTTTCTAAACAGTACTATCTTTAGACGATGAGTTGTCACATTTTATACAAACACATTTTAGACCAGCAATACTTCGCCTTGAGAATGGAGTGAGTCAATTAACTCCTAACACACACACACATTACAAACAAGAACAACAAAAACCATGTCATCCAATTAGGGTGTTGCAACATTGAGCGGTGTGGTCACGACCTGTAATTCATTCAGTGGCATCCTGAACCGATAACGTCACCAAGAATCAATCCCAAAAAGGAGTGCCAAGAGGTCATTCTGCAATTATCTGGTTGTTTGCTGTAGCTCCCACTGTTACTCCATCTTCCCTCCCCTTCCATATGTGCTCCCAGATGCTGTGAGGAATGGCTGTAATTTATTTTCTCCTTACCCCCTTCTTTTTCCCCTTTTATGGCTGCTGGCTAGAAGGCAATAGTGTACCATTCAGCCCCATTTTCTTCTGAAGTGTTGACCTGACAGCCTCAGTAAGTCCCATTTGAAAGTCACTGGCAAAATATCTCATGAAAACTTGTTTTTCTGTTGTCTGGTCAGCACTAATATCCAGGTATACATATAGCATTTACAAACACCACCAAAGGCTTATGCAATGCAGCATAACCAATTCTAAAGACTATTTTTAAAGCTCCAATAAAACAATAAATAATGAAATCCTACATGGTGTATGCTTTCTAGGTTAATTACACTTTATTTTTTAATTGCTTTACTATGTCTAATTTAGAATCACAGAATCATGGAATGGTTAGAGTTGGAAGAGACCTTAAAGATCATCGAGTTCCAACCCCCTGCCCTGGGTAGGGACACCTCCCACCAGACCAGGTTGCTCCAAGCCCCATCCAGCCTGGCCTTGAACCCCTCCAGGGATGGGGCAGCCACAGCTTCTCTGGGTAACCTCTTCCAGGGTCTCACCACCCTCACTGGAAAGAAATTCTTCCTAACATCTAATCTAAATCTCCCCTCTTTCAGTTTAAAACCATTACCCCTCGTCTTATTGTTACACTCTCTGATCAAGAGTCCCTCCCCATCTCTCCTACAGCCCCTTTAGGGACTGGAAGGCCACTATAAGGTTCAAAAGTTGCAGGTAATTGCAGATAAGTCTTCAAATTCCACAAAATTTTTGCTGCCTTCTGAAATTACTTTACCTGAGCCAAAGCTTCCATCAAGTTTCTCACCACCTTCTCTTGGTCCTCAGTTAATATCCTGTGAAGGGTGGCTCTCCTTTCACTATCCTTCTTCAGCATGAAAAACCCAGAATCTTTCTCTTCAGGGGAAGGAGGTGCACTGTGATCCTCAAAGTGTTCATCTGGGATGCTGAATGAAAGACACTCAGTAAAAACAAACTTCATCAAACCCACCCCAATGCACACGTTCCCAATCTACTGTGTAACATAAATGCCAGGTAGCTCTTTACCTCAGAAAAAGAGACCGGATCCCCTTCCCATCTTTCTCTCCGCAGGATTTGGCTCTTGTTTTGAAAGAGAATGGATCAATTTTTAATTCTGTATCAGGTGAGACAGAGCCATATTCACTGCTGCTACTTGTATCTTCCACCAGCACAGGGACAGGTAAGGATATACTCCGAAGATACTCTGCTTGTATGGGAATATTCAGAAAATAGAATTTAATAGTGCCATCACAGTTCTGAAGTGAAAAAATTATTCTTTCAGATGAAACAGACTCCAGTTTTCCCCCACGCCAAGACAAAACAGTAAAAACAAAATTGCCAAACAACTCCAAAAGCGTATTCTTCTGGAATAGAGTGACCCTTTGGTTATGCTTTTATTCAAAAGCTTCCTGAGATACAGAAATGCTCTTTGTAAGTTCATTTACAGAACTTCACCACCAGAGTGAATGTGGACCTTGTATCAGCAATATGCACTTTCAGCAGTAACCAAATGTTTCCACAGGGTAAGTCATCCAAGCACCTTCCAAAATCTTAATTTATGTGTGTATATAAACATGTTATTTATATACACAATACATGAAAGTATATATACACTCTAAGACATGAGAAACACTTCTTTATCAGATTATTTTGTACAAGTCTAATTAGTTCATGGTCTTTGACTAATAATAAACACGCACGTTAAGTCAGAACTTTTGTTTTTAAATCCAGAGCACACATTACTGCTGCAAAATAACTATTCATACCTACTTCATACGTGCATGTTTCAAAACATACTTTGATAACAACTCAGCATGAAGATAATGATGGGTTTGCTCTGTTTCCCCCACCCCCAGTTCATTTCTGGAAAGAGATGAGTTATCCTGTACCCAGATCTGACAAGGGGCCTCAAATACATTCTGCTTTGTTCAACTACACAATTTAGCCTAATAAAAATCTGTTTCTCAGTCATCCAAGCACCTTCCAAAATCTTAATTTATGTGTGTATATAAACATGTTATTTATATACACAATACATGAAAGTATATATACACTCTAAGACATGAGAAACATTTCTTTATCAGATTATTTTGTACAAGTCTAATTAGTTCATAGCCTTTGACTAATAATAAACACGCACGTTAAGTCAGAACTTTGTTTTTAAATCCAGAGCACACATTACTGTTGCAAAATAACTATTCATACCTACTTCATACGTGCATGTTTCAAAACATACTTTGATAACAACTCAGCATGAAGATAATGATGGGTTTGCTCTGTTTCCCCCACCCCCAGTTCATTTCTGGAAAGAGATGAGTTATCCTATACCCAGACCTGACAAGGGGCTCAAATACATTCTGCTTTTTTCAACTACACAATTTAGCCTAATAAAAATCTCTGTTTCTCCACAAATTTTGTCTCTATTGCTCCTATAAAACAGGCATTCAATTTCCTGCTCAGATTTCCACTAAAAGGTCCTATTTATTACCCACCTGCCTGGACAATTAAGCCATAGTCTGGTAGGATTACAAATAGGAGTTTAAATCTGCACCATGAATTCGAGGTTCCTAACAGAGAAAGGTCACTTATTTTCATAATTGGGCCCACTTCTCCTTGGAGCACTTTAGAGTGAAAAATTGTACCAGAACAGAACCCCAGTACCTACACAGTTATGTTTTGATAGAGAAGCATGTTAAAACTCACCGTTTGTGTTGGCTGAAAGAACTGTGGGAGAAACACAAAGAAAAAAGAACTTTAAGTGTGCTAAAAAGAACAGGAAATAAGCATAGTCTAAAGGATAAATTTCTTCCCTTTTTTATGGACTAGCTGGACTCTCCTGTCTGCAATCCTTAAAAGTGTAATTTATTGTGATTTAAAGTTAATTTTAATATGGGAGATGATGGTGGAAACCACATTAAAAGCGATCATCCAATGCCATCTCCTTTACCTTGTACTTTTCTTTCTTTTAGGTATCACTCTAAAAATACATAGAAGATATTTTCATATGTATGTATGCACACCCATAGGAAATGTCACTTACACCTCAAAACTCCTTTGTTACTTTCCCTAATTTACAATACTAAAGGATATGAGTACGTGGAACAAAAATAACATATTTCATGTACATTTACTATGGGACAAAGATTATTTTGCTGATGTAGAAAACCCTCCCTGAGGCTCGATAGTGTGTTCTAACCTTACACAAAATGGGGAAACTCACACTCATGGAAACATTCTTTGAATGAAAACACAGGCAAATTAAAAAAAAACAAACAAACAACCACACACAAGTTGCATAAAACCATAAAAAGACTTTTAGAAACCTTATCAAAAATATTTATATAAATCACATACGTAACAGAATTCGGCTACTTCAGTGTTTCTGCAGGAAGCTGCTGGGATTTATATAAATCACATACATAACAGAATTCGGCTACTCCAGTGTTTCTGCAGGAAGCTGCTGGAAGAGAAGGTTACAACGGGGCGTTCGCTGGGATGGAGATCTGTTGTGCTCACCTTAAAAACTAAATCAGCAGCTTCAGGCAACAGCAGAAAAATTCCACATCGAGTTTAGCAACACCTACCTGAGAGCTTTGATGGGGACTTCCTTTTTTTGCTTGAAACCTTCAGGAATTCATCTATAAGTAGATCGTGAGCAAAAGCTCGTTTGTCGGGGTCTGGTTCAAAGCATCGCAATATGAAAGCCTTGGCTTCTGCAGACATGGATTCAGGAATCTCTGGGTGTATTTTAAACATTCCCACCTGAGAAAAATAAAGGGAGAAACAATGGCCTACACTGTTCTTTTCCCAAACATTAAATAGCATCAGAAAAGTGTTTAGGTAATAAAAGCCGTATGTTGTTCTCAACTTTTTATATTCTCTTTCTGTAACTAGTTTAATAATTCAGGGGAAAAAACCCAACTATTACAAACTGTGGAAACAATTACATGAAAAAAACCCACAATTGTAAGTAGAGGCTCTGGCAAAGCAGAATGCTTCCCATTTTTAATTATTTTTTTTTGTTTTCAAACACCCAACTGCTGTTGCTCCATCACTGTCTCCAAAACCACACAGCGCTCCCGCTCAGCTGCATCAGCTCATGCTTCTTCACCTCCTCACCACCCAAGCATCTCCTTTAGCTTCTTCTCCTGCAGCCCCTACCTAATTCTGACTTCTCCAGAGTAGTCCTAAGATTTCCTGTGTTTACAAACACCCGTCTGACCTTAAACATAGCGGCTTGAGGTTCTCCCAGTTCATAAAACGGGGGCTTCCCTGTAGCCATCTCAATGATGGTGCATCCCAGAGACCAGATGTCTGCAGCCTTCCCGTAGCCACGTGGCCCTTTGTCTATGATCTCCGGTGCCATGTACTGAAGGGTACCTGTTGGAAACACTCATTTTTTTTACTGAAGTGCACTAACGATCCTTTAGCTATCCATTTGCATACCAGGGACAGAATCACTGGGGTGTGAGCAATATTGGGAGAGTTAAAAAAATACTGGTTATTCAAAATTCAAAGATTTCCATAAGCATTCTACATAAAACTCAAAATAATATTAAAAATATTACTTGTGCTAAAAACATCTGATATAATCTACTGATCTAATGGTATCACTTTTCAAAGCCAATGACGTTCATTAAGAGGTTTCAGTGAGCATTGGATCAGATGTAATTTTAATTTATTGCATTAAAGATTAAGATGAAAATAAGGAAGGTCACTCTGAATTCCATCCAGAGAGGAAAAGGAAGTGAAACCTGAAAATCTGAACCTAAAGCAGCGGGTGAGATGAACACCTTTTCTGAATCAACCCGACCCATCATTCTGCATTCTGTCCCATTTAAAGCAGAAATGGAAGAGCAGAGGCTGGAATTAAAATAACAGCCCCTTCTTGTTTTCTGTAATTATTTAATGAAGTGCCACTGTGTAATTTAACATCCAAATCAAATTATCAAGCAGAATGAGAGTCAGGTCAATGACAGACTCTGCTGATAAGTGATTCTGCAGATGAAGCCAGGGTGCCCAAGCCAGTCATGAAAGAAAAATGGAAGATAGCCTTCCATCAGTGTTGTCACAATCAGCAAGACAAAAAAACCCACATGCACAGGAGAGACAGGCTCAAACACAACACAGGAAAGACACAGCTTTGTAGAGGACTTCCATGACTCAAGGAGAACTTCTCAGCATTCTCTTTGGACACTGCACACCAGTACAGCATATGCAAAACCAGTTATTCCTGCAGCAACCTTTTATATTGATCTGAAGGCAATGCAAGTCCAGCAGCTGTGGATTCTGACCCTACACCGCGCAGTTGGAGCGAGGAAAAGAGATTGAGTCTCCTCTGGGAACCTACCAGTGAAAGTCTCAGTACAGGGGTTGATTCCTGCAAGTCTCTTTGAAGTTCCAAAGTCCGAAATCTTTAACACTCCACTGTACGTGTTGATAAGCACATTATCACCCTGAGGAACAGAACATCCGGAGCAATTATTTTTTTCTGCTGACTCTTCACCTGAGCCTTCTCGCATGGCCTGTTTCTCCAATGCACTCTCTAGTAACTAACAATTACCTCCTAAGGCTCTCAGGGAAGGGGAAAGAGGAATCAATGTTCTTGCCTTATGTAATCCCATTATCAGAAACTTCATCTCAAAGGGAACTTCCTCTACTACAGAAATTCAGTTAAAGATTACTAAGAGATGGAAAAGGCATGCCTTTTGCCTCATTTTTTTTAAGAAGGGAAATTTTTCATCTGCAATCTCCTCAGAAAAGAACCTGCTAATATCCCATCCACCATCATCTTCACTTCTAATAATTTTTTATGAAAGTTCGATCCCATCATTGAAAACAGGAATAAAAATATCCCCTTCATCAAAAAAATATTCACTTTATCCACCTTAAGTGGCTATATATCAATTCTTCTCAAAGAAAAAAAAATATTTTGTTGGTGCAAATTCAAATTAACAATGGTTCACTGACCATTTGAGGTCAGTGGTCATTTGAGGCCCCCACCTGAGGTCCCATCTGGAGTGCTGTGTCCAGTTCTGGACCCCCCAGTTCAAGAAGGACAGGGAACTGCTGGAGAGGGGACAGCAGAGGGCTACAAAGGTGATGAGGGGCCTAGAACATCTCCCTTACAAGGAGAGGCTGAGGGACTTGGGTCTTTTTAGTCTGGAGAAGAGAAGGCTGAGGGGGATCTGATCAACACCTATAAATACTTAAAGGGTGGGTGTCAGGAGGATGGGGCCAGTCTTTTTTCAGTGGTGCCCAGGGACAGGACAAGGGGAAAAGGACAGAAACTTGAATATAAGAAGTTCCATCTCAACATGAGGAGGAACTTCTTTCCTGTGAGGGTGGCAGAGCCCTGGAAGAGGCTGCCCAGAGAGGTGGTGGAGTCTCCTTCTCTGGAGACATTCCAAACCCACCTGGACACATTCCTGTGGGACCTGCTCTGGGTGACCCTGCTCTGGTGGGGGTAGGATTAGAGGATCTCCAGAGGTCCCTTCCAACCCCATGTCGTCCTGTGATTCTGTGACCTACCCCATAGTTCAGAATAGCAGGCAGTATATGTGCAAATTAAGAACTCCCAGAAAAAAGAGTTTTTTTAAATTACAGGACAAATAAATGGTTATGCAGTTACATGACACTATGAGGTTTAATTCTCTGCAAATTCTTACCTTTATGTCTCGATGCACTATCTGATTATCATGGAGGTATTTTAATCCTTCAAGAATCTGCTTGGTGTAAAATCCGATTGTCTGCTCGTTATTTTTTAATGGTCCCCACTTTGATCGTAGAAGAGCAGAAAGGCTGCCTATAATTTTGAAGAACAAAAAAGTGAGAGTGAAAATCCAATTAAATTCTGCCTTCTCCCACAAAGAAAAAAAAAATTAAATAGTCACAACAAAAAGTAATCCCAAACCAAGTGTAGGCACCGCTTCTATAACCAAAGGCCTCTCCAGGAGAATGCTTACGTGCATCATCACCGGCCTCAATAATTAAAAAGAGCCTCAGTATCTCCACTGAGCTGCAGCAGAGAGGCACATGCTTCCTCAAGCAAGTCGATCAGAACCCGTTTCAATCAACACACTCATCCCTCTCCTAAGCCTGGAGAGAAGCTGCCCCAGAGGAATGTTGAAGGACAGTGAAAAAAGATGGATGTACATACACCAACTCCACAGCTTCTCGAAAAGCTCAGCTCAAAAAAAGGGATTTTGGTTGCATCTGGCTGCTGTGATTTTTTTGGTCTCAAACAGAAGCACGGATCACCATTCTCTTGTGTCAGGTACCTGAGGAGGGCTCAGCCATCTGAGACAAGCTACAACCTTTCCAGTAGGATAACCCCAGATCACCTCTGATCTGCAGGCAGAAGGAGCCACAGCCTGAGCTGTATCTACAGCATATCCTACCTAAATGGGGCCACAAAGATGCTCAGAGGGCTGGAGCCCCTCTGCTGAGAGAAAAGGCTGAGAGAGTTGGGGTTGTTCTGCCTGGGAAAGAGAAGGATCCGGAGAGCCCTTAGAGCCCCTTCCAGTCCCTAAAGGGGGCTACAGGAGAGATGGGGAGGGACTCTTGTTCAGGAAGGGGAGCAATAGGATGAGGGGTAACATTTTTAACTGAAAGAGGGGAGATTTACATGAGATAGTAGGAAGAAATTCTTTCCTGTGAAGGTGGTGAGACACTGGAAGAGGTTGCCCAGAGAAGCTGTGGCTGCCCCATCCCTGGAGGGGTTCAAGGCCAGGTTGGATGGGGCTTGGAGCAACCTGGTCTGGTGGGAGGTGTCCCTGCCCAGGGCAGGGGGTTGGAATTGGATGATCTTTAAGGTCCCTTCCAACTCTAACCATTCTATGATTCTACGATTCTAAATACTGAACGAGAGGACTCAAGTACTTGGAATACAATTTTCCCCATTAATTTAGGGAAGAGATACTACGGAACATTACATTCACATGAAATGTATCTTGTTGCAGTAGTACAGATTTTACACTTTTAAAACATTAAAAAAAAAAACCCAAGTAATCCCAAGCGAGTCTCCCCCACATCTTACCCCCTGGAACTTGCTCCATGAATATCTTAATGAAGCCATTCTCACTCAGAGAACCCAAATACTGGACAATGTTCTTGTGTTTGAGATGCTTATGCAAAGCTATTTCTTCGTGCAGAGGTTGCGAGTACCTGGAAAGAAAAGAAGCCATTTATTCAATATTGATCTTTGGTGTTTACTGTAGTGGCTGAAGTTCTATTTTAGGTCCCATGAAACACGTTTACACTGAAGATGACTATGTGTTAGATGCATTTAACAACAGTGGGTGTGACCACCACATACTTAAAAATTGTGCAATCGTATATAAATACACATAGATATCTATAATATTGTATATACACACACAAAATGTTATGAATGTACATAGACAGACTGAGCAAACCAAAATTTGGGAAAAAAGATCTACTCTCCAGCCTAACTTGAAGAGAATGAACATTGACACAAGCAGTTGGGTTCAGACTCATGCCAAAGTGAACTAGTAAACCAGAAAGTTACTGTCTAATTAAAATCACCTCAATAATGAAAACAAATCACCATTTAGATTTTAATTCATTAAAGGAGGAGTCTTATCTGAAAGCAAGGATGGACAGCTATCAGAGTAAGAAAATGGAATTATTTCATGGGGAGATATTCGGAAGAACTGACTGAAAGAATTTCATCAAATATAGTCCAAGGTGAAATATTTTTCAGAGATGTAAGCTTTTCAGCAGGATTTTTGCATACCCCCGAGAGGGTCAGCTGCCAGATTCTGTGTGGTGTCTGGCAAAATCTAGCTGATATGCTGAGATTCTGGTGGCTATTTTCACTAAAGCACTAACATTTGCAGTCTGACTTTCAGGGCTGAAGGACACAGACCTCCTTCCATCAGTCCAGATGTAAGAAGGAGCTGTCAAGGCTTGATGAAGCAGAGAACATATTCAGATGCTTGTACCGAGCGAGTACTTAACAGCTGCAAACTCAACCTTGCAGCTATTTGCCACCAAAATAAATAGTTTTACTGCCATCTTCACCTTCAGCAGGTTGCTCTCACCACAGACCTCACACCAACACTGGTACATTCTCGTCCCCTAATGAAATGGTAGAAAACTTTTATTTTACTTATTTATTGGGAGGTGGGGTAGCTTCTCTACAACTGCCTGAAAGGAGGGTGTAGAGAGGTGAGGGTCGATCTCTTTTCCCAAGGAACAGGTGATGGGATGAAGAAACGGCCTCAAGTTGCACCAGGGGAGGTTCAGATTGGATATGAGAAAAATTTTTACACGGAAAGGGTTATTAAGCCTTGGAATGGGCTGCCCAGAGAAGGGGTTGAGGCACCATCCCTGGAGGTATTTAAAAGATGGGCAGATGTAGTGGTTAGAGATATGGTTTGCTGATGGTTTTTGTCAGTGTTGGGTTGATGGTTGGACTAGGTGATCTGAAAGTTTCCTTCCAACCTTGGCTATTCTATGATTCTGTGATTCCTGCTGTGTCCAGTCCAGGAGTGAGCTCTCCCTGGAGCCAGGAGAGTGCCAGTGACAGGAAAGCAGTCAAAATATGAACAAAATTGAAGTTGTTTGAAAAAAAGTGCTCCCTTTTGGGATAGCGAGCTCACTCGAACAACAGCATCAAGCTACAAGTGGAGGCTGAACTCTTAAGAGTGGAGGGGAGAAAAAAAAAACAAAAAAAACCTAGGTATGTGAAAATCCCTCTGGAAAACAACTTTGCAGATAGTAGGGAAAGTATCTGGTTAATGAGAAGTGTGATTATGCAACTCCGAATCTCCTTACTAAAACCTCATTTGAGTTCTGGCTTGCCCCTCCACACGTAATGATTCTGACTACGCTGTTAGTCATTCAGAAATGCAAAATCATCAGAGATTATATTCCTGAGTTCTCCTAATGGGACGCTCGATCAGAGCAGCAACAGCAAGACAATAACAGTTCCTCCCCCTGCACTTTTAAACTGCAAAGTTAATTGAGTCTTGAGCAACTAAAATAATTTAGATAATGAAATAAAGCCGTAAGAAAATTCTCCAGGAGGACGAAGCATTTATTATTGTAGAACTTAGTCATTAGGAGACTTTAAATGGTACAAAGTCTGACAAGTTCTAAATCCTAGAAAGCTAGATCTTATTATCTACCTAAGATGCTTTTACTTGAACTTGGAAAGCTGGTATGGTTGATAGCTGCAACAGCACTGCAGGAATGTTTCCTTTTCTTTCAGAATGTGTCTCCATAGTCTTAACATTCCCTGACAATTAAGTACATTATTCAGTAGCTTATACTCAACATACAGCAGTACCGAAGACTCACTGCTTTTTGCACAGAAATCATGGCATTTCTGGCCATGCTCTGACTCGGAACCTAATTATTTCTTACAAATCCAAAAGATGGTCATTTTTACTTCAAAAATGCTAAGAATTGACTTCAGAGACTAATCCTTTTCTTTCCATAGATTTCTTTCAAAGCGCTAACAGATCAGGTTCTAATCAATCAGAAATGAATTACTAACTTCTTCTCACTTTGCCATTAAAAGAATAACACTTGACATTTGTCCTGGAAGCCTGTAAAAAATTTTTGAAGTCTAGATGAAAGACTATCAGCCTCTTAATAATCTCTTTTCAAGTATCCTTTGCAGACTGAATCTGAAATCCTTTCCATCAAAAATGTTTTTAAAAAAATGTGTATTAGAGAAGAAAAATCTGGATTTTTTTTTTCCTTTAAAGTAGATACTACTCTATTCAGACTATCTTTCTATTAACCACAGTTCTTATAAACAACACATTTCTTCTAAGCACATACAAAACCAAACTGCAACTATTTTGAGTCAAAAGATTGTTTTATGTAATGAGGCCATAGTTCCTGAAGTTAAATTTGCAATAATAATATCGAGGATGGAGGATTCCTCTTTCCATAATCTAAGTTCTAGTGTCTTTAAAATATCGACACAGAGAAATAATTCGACCACACACTTCTCCATAGTGAATAGTCAATATAAATGATTTAGAAGGATTAATATTTTTTTTAAAACATCAAAGAAAAGTGAGGAGGTAATAACTGAAGGAATGCCCACAAGAGTGACCCACGACAGAGAACCTCAGCTGGGACACCAGGTGGCATTACTGACCCTTCCAGCCTGTAAAATTACACAAAGAAAACTTTGTAAGAGTTATCACACAGTGTCCTGTCAACATCTAGGCTCCGATACAATTTAAATAACACTACTTGATGCTGGATAGGTTGTAGAGAATAATACTCCTTTCCCACAAATGGTGGTTTTTACCCCCAGGGACACGCATTCTAGATAAAGGTGAGAAGAGTAACAGCCACGGTGTTGGGTTAGAATAAGCCTCTTTTATCTACTGGTTTGAATACTGGCACTCCCTACAACAACTGCTTTGTAGGGATGGGTAAAACCAGCTTCCTTCCTGATATCAGCTGTAGATTGAACACTGCACAAACAAGGATACAGTTATTTCCTCCTACGGAGGCGGCTTCATCATAAACGATGCACAAACAGGCAGGGAAAATGTCTCTATTAATAAATCAAGCTCAGAATTTTAAAGGACTCCACAAATCATGAATTTCAATAGTTCTTTTAGAAGGACATGCCTGAGCATGCCTAATCACTAGACGTTTGAGTGAGAGTCTCTACTCAGCAATATTTCCTTTGGAAAGAAAAAGTATTATAAACTGCTAGTACCAAAGCCAGTAAACATCTAAATTCTCAGTTGTGATCATAATCTATTCCACAACTTGGAATAGTCTAGTTGCAAAGATAGGGAACGGGATTATATATGAGAGAGAAGTAATTTATTGGCAGCTTGGTAGAAGAGATATACTTTAATCAGCCATCTGGTTGGTCACGTTACTGATAAAATCATGCAATGCAGAAAATTTGGGATCAGCCGCAGTTACCGTACCTGCTGTCTCTCTCTGGGATTTCTTTAATTGCAATTCTGACTTGGTTGCTCAAATCTCGCCCTGCGTATACGATGCCGTAAGTTCCTTTCCCCAGGACGACTCGCTCGCCGTTCTCATCATATTCGTAGTCATACTGCAAAGCAAACAACACCACGAGATGAAGCAGAGGGGTAAGATTTATTTCACCTGACCCCCTGCTCATAACTAAGGCATCAAGGGCACCAGCTGCTTTCTGCAAGACCGTGGAACAGGAAAGAGGAATACTTCAAGAGGACAATTCGGATACCGTGAGGACATCTATCCTCTGACTGTACAGGAAGCACTGGCTTCTAAGGTGTCCATGTCAGGTAGGTGCACAAAGCCAAGCCTCTACCTGTTTTGTGTAATTACTCTTGTATGTCTTACTCATCAGCGTCTGCAGTTCTGCTGGCAGGTGCTGTAAAAAGGAGAGGAGACGACAGAGGGCACCCTGAGCCAGACGGAGACTTTGGGCTCCCACACAAGCAGAAAAAGGGAGGCAGGATACACTGAATTTGCTCCAGACGCTCTCCTGACCTCACCACATCTCCCCAGACCAGCACCACCTCAATTTTGCCGGTGGTGGGTCAGCCAGCAGAGTGTGGCGACGACGGAGGGCAGGCAGGATTGCAGGGCATTCAGCCTGGTTTCGGCTGAATTTGAATTTCAAAGTGTTGAAGGCCAGTCCAGAAACAGTCATTAGATAGATTATTTCATCTAGCCTCTTGGGTAACACAGACCTGTAATTTCACATGCTCACTCCCATGCTAAACCCAGTAGTTTATGCCTAGATAAAGTGTTTTTTATTTACCCCCAAATAAAGATTGCTATCTTCTTAATAAAAGAGAGAATCCACTACTCCTTTTCGTACTTTTGTTTCAACATTTAATTACTCTCATGGTGAAGTCATGCCTCTTAATTCAAATTTCTTCGGTGTCACTATTTCATTACAATTTTCTTCAACAGATTAAAGAGACCATTAGCACATTGTAATTTTCCCTGTAAAAATACTCACCCACTGTAATCAAGTCACCCACCGCTTTTCTTTTTGCTAAAATAAACAAATTAGGCACCCTAAGGTTCTCATTAAAGGGTATTTTTCTATCCCACAAGTCACTCTTTGTGGTTTCTCTTTGTCCTGTCTTCGATTTCAGATCTATTATAAGATGCCAACGAGAGAACTGGGACAGAGGGCTCTCTGTATTCATTATGCAGCACTGAGTCAGTCAGGTCTGGATGTCTCTAGAGCTTTAGGGCACCACACTTTCATGTGGGACGTGGGATTAGACGGTCTTTCCAGTTCCCTTCCATCTAGAAGAAAGCCTTAACACCCAAAGTATTGCATTGCACCCAATGGCCCTGTACTTGCTTTTCAACTATGTGTACATTCAGGTAGAAACCCGAGGTGAGAATGTCATGGGACGTACCCAGAGAAGCTATAATTTAGCTAACAGGGGTAGGAGCAGAAGTAGGGCATCCTAAGGTTCAGCGCAAGTTCACAGAATCAAAGAATGGGTCAGGTTGGAAGTGACCTTAAGGATCACTGAGTTCCAACCCATTGCCCTGGGCAGGGACACCTCCCACCAGCCCAGGTTGCTCCAAGCCCCATCCAGCCTGGCCTTGAACCCCTCCAGGGATGGGGCAGCCACAGCTTCTCTGGGCAACCTCTTCCAGGGTCTCACCACCCTCACAGCAAAGAATTTCTTCCTAATATCATATCTGAAACTCCCCTCTTTCAGTTTAAAACTATTACTCCTCATCCTATGGCTCCACTCCCTGATGAAGAGTCCCTCCCCATCTCTCCTGTAGCCCCTTTAGGTACTGGAAGGGGCTCTAAGGTTTCCCCGGAGCCTTCCCTTGTCCAGGCTGAACAACATGCTCTAGCTCTAGGCAATCCTGCTTCAGCAGGGGAGTTGGACTAGATGATCTCTATGGTCCCTTCCAACTCTAGAAATTCAGTGAAATTCAGTGAAATTCAGTGAAACCTCAACTCTCTCAGCCTGTCTTCATAGCAGAGGTGCTCCATCCCTCTGAGCATCTTCATGGCCCTCCTCTGGACCCCTTCCATGTCCTTCCTATGCTGAGGACTCCAGCATAGGAGTTAGTGGGGTAGAGTATAAACAGGCTCCCAGCAGCACCATCATCATCACCATTTAAGTTTGCTGTACATTGCTGTGCTCGCCCACAGATGGTCACCAGCAAGGACAAGCCTTCCTCTCCTACAACTAAATCCGCACGTGTGGTGCAGACGACCTGCCAATAATGTCAGCGCACACAACTCCAGCGATGCGTGAAACAGGCAGCAAACAGTCTTTAAAATTTAAACAGATGCTAATGCCGCCTGACTCTGATTACACTCCGAAGAAAGTGGTGCAAAAGTCACTCTGTGATAAGCACGACTGGAGAATTCCAGAGTTGGGCGCCTTCTCAAATGAGTATGCTAACTGAAATAGGAGAGATTTAGCTAAGCTGGTTATAAAACATGAGGACCATTAAAAAGAATCATTAAACAGCAGAGGATAACGTTTTGCAAACAGTGACTTGTCTAACTTCTTCCAGAGAAGGGATGAGTAATTTACTCCCTCCAGTGAAACGCTACACTAGAAAACCGAAATACTTCGTATGCTGGGAAAAAAAAAAAAAGGCAAAAATACCTCTAGAGAGTCTCCATCACATTCCCCTTCCTCTGTGGTCTTCCCTATTTCCTCCGTGATACTGTTCACCATGTCAAAAAACCTGTTAAAAGGGGGGAAAAAAAAAGCAAAGCAAACACACACTTGAGACGGTACAAGGACAAAGAGAAAGGTTCTCTCTAAAGTAAGGAATGAACCAAAAGAGGATTGAAGTATAGATAAACTCAGCATAAATGTTTGTGAGCATAAAGGAAAAAAATATATTTTTGTTTACATGGAGAATTAACAGTCAAAATCAGCAGTTTTCCTCCTGTTTTTTACGTACTCCATCATGGCTGAAATTACTAATGGCATTCACATTTCAAAGTCTATGTTTCAAGTGAAAGTCTCATCCTGTACCATTTCTTTACATCCAATGAAAGCACTGAAGCACAATGAGAAGCGCCTCAAAATCTTGCCTACACCTGGAGGAGATTTTGTGGGGCAGCTTCAAGTTTCTACTTGAATGAAAAGGGGATCTATTTTACAATTTTCCATTTAAAGAAATAAATATTATTACGTATGACTTCTACCCCTTTGAAAGAATGCAAGTACAAATAGCATGTCATGCTAAGGTATTGCTTACTCCTCTTCTAAGAAGTACCCAGATATGAAGGGGAATGAACATGGCTAAAGAACCTGTACAAATTAAAATGGATTAAGCCAGGGGCTGGGCTGGGAGGCGGCCACAGCCATTAATATGGAGAACTGCAGTGATTTTTCATAAAGTTGCAGCCTTTTTTAGCACAAAATGACATGAAATTTCCTCTGGGAATGCCTTGTGGATCAATTCAAGACCACAACCCTCAAGCCTACGAAGCAGAAACACAGCTTAGAGAAACCCTAATTTTGTGCAACAACCCCCCGCCAAGTTTCCTGTAGGGAAACTGGTACAATCTTGCTCAGGTAAATATGATGCTAATGTAAAGGAAATCAAGTGTGCTTCTTTAATAATAATTTAATAATAATTTTAGTTACAGTAAAAGGAAATCTTGACCAGACCTTGTTGTTACTCCAAATGTTCCCACTTCAGAAAGTCCATTTTAAGTTTAAGGTGCTTTGTCGGATTGAGAGCAACAAACACTTGTAGTAAGCCTTAATATGAAAAATATTAGGAAAATAATCCCACAAGTGTGTAAAAAAATCATTAAATTTGTAATCCAATGTTTTCAACGTTTGTCTGAGGTTGTGCTTTGATCCTTCAAAGCTCGTATATGTCCAGGGAGTTGTAGTACTAAGCTTTTCTGTGAAAAAATGGTGATCACTGAGGATGCTCAGACCAACTTTCACCACAGTTCTGAGACAATCGGTCCCTGTTGTGCAGGCAAGACACCATCCACCCCAACCACAGGCTGGGTTTGTTCCAAAATAACACCAGTGACACACACCTTCGGCAATGAAGTTCCGTGCAGAAGTAGATTTGGAAGTCATCCGAGTTGTGCAGCACGTAGAGGAAACAGCATCGTTCTTCAAACTTGGAGATGCTGGAAGAACAGCCAAGCAGAACGTGTTACTGGAAAAATGGATTTTGACTTCCATCAGCCATACCAAACCCCACAGATCAACCCATTTCACATGGCAAAGGACCAGATTAAACCTAAGACACCATATTTTTTCTTTATTGTACAAATACAAATGTTTGTACAAATACAAATGTTTTATCCTCCAAAGTTCACGCTGTGCTGTTTGCTGTCGTTCAGCTTGTCCCCCTCGTCCACACATCGCCCAAGAAAGAGTAGGAGCAAAGAAGTTAATAGGGTTTTTTCCATTGACCCCAGTCATCTTTGTCTTCATTGCATTTAGGTAAAGCCCCTAATTTCCCACTTCTGCAGCCAGGATGGAACACCCTTTCAGGATCCCATTATAAAGCCAGACTTTGAACTCAAGCAGGAGTTCTTCCCACTTTAGAAATCGGCTACAGCTCAATCCTGAACACAAATATTCCTGATTTTCTTCACTGTGAGGGTGGTGGAACACTGGAACAGGTTGCCCAGGGAGGTGTTGAGGCCTGGAGATATTCAAGGAGAGGCTCGATGAGGCCCTGGGCAACCTGGTCTAGTTGGGGGTGTCCCTGCTGACTGCGGGGAGGTCGGACTAGATGACCTTTGGAGGTCCCTTCCGGCCTGGGCAAATCATAGAATATGATTCTATGATGTTGGAAAAATATTGTAAAATTAAGTCAGCATCAAAAAAACGAGGCGAATGACTTCACCACCCTTGCCCACCTCCCCTTTTCTTTAGTTTTGGTTTTATCTGCTGTACAGGGGAACAAAGGCACAGAAGAAGGACGTATGCCATTTTCTTATGGATGCATAGGTGTCTCCACAGAAGAGCAGAAGAGGTGCAAACTCTGGTAGAGTTGTCAGTTTTCTGCCCCAAGGAGGCTGCAGCTCTTCCAAAGACAATCATTCACCAGAACTGTTTTATGTGCGTGTCATTACTG